AGCTAGAACCTTCCTTTTGCAATGTAAGTCACATCTCTCCCTCACTCACAACTTTCCAAACGGCTTTTAGCCACACGTTGCATACAACCCCAAGGCCTTGTCCCGTGTGCCTCAGGGCCTTGGCACGTGCTAGACATGCCACCTGTCTGCAAGGTCCTTCCTCCAAGCTCAGCCCTGGGTGGGGAGCGTCTTCGGTTCCTGTCTTCCAAGCCCGTGGAACCCTTCGGCTTGGGTCACCTGACACAGACATCTGTCATGAGTTCCAACGTCACCCCCACTCACCGGCCTTCCCCCAGCCAGCCAACGACCCCTCACACATTCCTCCCACCCGCTGCCCAGGCCTCCTACGCGCTGCTTCATCCTGCTTCCTCGCCAGGGCTTAGTCTCGTTTGCTTAGGCTCAGTTGTGCTCTGTTTATGGGCTTTCTTCAAGGTTGTCTCTCAGGGTCACGAAGTGTCTGTCAAAAGGACCCCGCTCATCAGCTGGGGGTGGGGTGGGGAAAGGGGGGGATAGAGATCACCCTGATTACGAACTTGTTTGCTTTTCTATCTCCTGCCTGCGCCTTGGACAGCGAGGTTGCGTGGAAGCCAGAGCTGCCTGCTGTGTTGGCACGTGGCAGGCGCACAGTAAACATCCGTGACCGTGAATACCTCCTCCGCTCCCGCAAGCACTCGGACGAGCTGTCCCCTCGCCCTCTGCCTTGATTTAGCTTCCTTCTCCTCTCTTTCTGCAGAAGCCACGCTTCCAGAGAAAAGGATCAGGGCCCGGCCGGCCGGCGTGGCTCCGTGGTTGAGCGGCGATCTATGAACCAGGAGGTCCTGGTTAGATTCCCCATCAGGGCACAGGCCCGGTTGCAGGCTCGCTCCGCTCCCCAGTGGGGGGCGTGCAGGAGGCAGCTGATCCATGATTCTCTCTCATCATTGATGTTTCTATCTCTCTTCCTCTCCCTTCCTCTCTGAAATCAATAAATATATATATATTAGAAAAGGATCATGAAAAAAGTCTCTAGTGTATTCATCTGGCACATATGGTTAAGGAAGGGGCTGGATGGTGTGACAAGACGCAAAGAAATCTCATTTTCTCTCGCGTGCGCGCACAGCACACTTTCCTTTTTCACGCTCTACTTCCTCCTGTGCTCGTGGTAAAAGGCCTCCAGAGGCGGCTCCTCCTTCAGAAGCCTTCCCGCACCCCATTTTATTGCATGTGGGTGCAATTACACTCGCACCCCAATCCTCCACCCACGACCCTGCTTCTACCACAGCACTGAGGCCGCCGGAACTTAAGTCCTGTGTGTGCCTCCAGCAAGCTGCCCCACAGCACGAAATTCTTGCCCTTCTGGTTCCAGGAGGTGGAGCACACAGCAGCAGCTCAAATATTTATGTAAAGGTTAAATATACTGGGGGGAGGGGGGTCAGAATTTGTCCGTCTCTCTCCTCTATGTTGCAAGGCTATACTGGGCATTTCTTTTGAACATTGTGGGCAATTTAAACCTTTCTTCTATTTGTATGATAAGGGTTCTTTTATTTATTTGTTGTAGAGAGCGCCTGGGAAGGCACATGAGCATTTCTTTAATTATTGTCAGCTGAGTCCTGTGGCGTTGGCAGAGCCATGCCAGAGGCAGGTGCCAGAGGCAGGTACGTCGTCAGCCCGACCCTTAGCTCAGGTGCCAGGGGGTAGGTGTCATTATCTAAGTTCAGCCAGGCGCAAGGAACGGACGCAATTGTCCGCGCTCAGCCAGGAGCGACGATTACAAAGAAGCCACAAAGAATGAAGAATTACAGCTTGATCTTTCACCATGGTTTCACATAATTTCCTTCGTTTTAAACTCTTGTAACACTTCCTGGAATTATACTGTACATAATAAACACGCTGACCGGCTCTGGGTCCCTGTCTCTCCAGCAGAGGACAGCGTCCAACCCGGTCCCAGCTTTTCCCCCCTGTCTCTGTGTCTCTTTCTTTCATTTTCTCAATCCTCAGCCGCCCCTACTCAGGACTCGTGTCCGCTCTCTAGCCGAGCTGGACTCGGTAAAGAGAGAAATCCTATATAATAAAAGGCTAATATGCAAATTGTCCCCTGGAGCAGGGGGCGGGGCGGGCAGCCAACTGCCCTTGGCCCCTCCCCCTGGCCAGCCTGGCCCAATCGCCCTCAATCGGGGTGGGCCGGCCAGACCCCACCTGTGCACGAGTTCCTGTACCTGGCCTCTAATACTTAATAATTTGTGTTCATGACTTTTTGGGTGGGTTTTTAATTTTTTCCATTTTTTAATGTATTTTTTATTGCTGATAGTATGACAGATATCTCCCATCCTCCCTTTTCCCCCACCCTTCAGTCCGCAGGCCAATGCTCTATCCACCGAGCCAAACCGGTCAGGGCTTTTAATGTATTTTTTTTTAATTGCTGATAGTATGACAGATATCTCCCATCCTCCCTTTCCCCCATCTCCTCCCAGCCCCTCCACCCCCAGGTCTTCACCCCCCTATTGCCCGTGTCCATGGGCTGTGCAGTAACCATATAAGTTCTGGGGTTTATCTCTTCTAGTCCCCCAGCCCCCCATGGGGGTATGGCGGCCTGCTCCATGCCTCTGGCTTCGGGTCTTGTTTTGTGGGTCAGTTCATTTTGTTCATTAGATCCCACGCATAAGTGAGCTCATGGCTTTCTCCGTTTGGCTTATTTCGATTAGCCTAGTATTTCCCGGGTCCATCCGTGCTTCCCCAAGGGGAAAGAGATCCCTCTATTTTTTTTTATTCTTTTGGATGTCAAGCGAGGGTTTGGCTCTGCTTAGAGGAAGGCAAAGTCCGCCCGCATAAAGCTGCCCAGCTCTGCTCCTCTCCCCTCCGCTTGGCATCGCAGCCTGTGCCCAGCCTCGCCCAGACCCACCCGGCTGGTCCCGCCGGGCCCCTCCTCCCT